GAAAATCCAGAATCCCCCCACTCCCCCTCCCCCCCACACACAAGCTTGCATTACTGTACTGATGTCGCAGGGCTTAGACAGAATTTTGTGTGTACACTTGAATGGAGTTTTGGGGTGGTTTTGGGATGTCTTGTGTATTAAGTGTACACTTGCGTTGTGTCTGTGGATTAGTCATTGATATCCAACATAAAATGATAAGTATGTAATACATATACCCTCTTTGAAGTCTATTCCTACCTCCCCATGGTGAGCAGGGATAACTATAACATTGTACTTCAAATTAAGAACACATACACACGCACACAATGCTCATAGAATGATCATTTACCAGTTGTGATACTCTGCAAAACATTCCCCCCCTCTCTCTCTCCCTCACTCATACAAGCACACAAAAACATACACACATACACACACAGATATCTTTGACTTTCAGCCGCACTTATTATGTCTAGGTCATGTACCTGTTCCTCTTTAGTGTTGATAGGCCGAGAAATACCAAGCGAAGACATCATTGTCTGCAGTCCCTCCTTGGAGCTACTCCCACCCATCAGCTCACTCAAAGTCTGTACCAGCTCTTGTCTACGGTCATCCTGAATACACAATACGTGCAAGACTAGAGTAAGATAATAAATACATAAATTTGTGCAGGAGGAATATGAAGTGAACGGCCAACTCATTTTAAAACAGCCCCCTCCCCACGAAACAAGCAAATAAACAAACAAACAAACAAAAATTCAAACAAACAAAGAAGCCAAACAACTTCATCACTCCTTATGAGAATAGTCTTTGCACCACAACGATTCACTAACTCGTTCCCAATATTGTTAGTAATCTCAACGAAAATGAATTCTTGTTCGCAGATGACCACAGCATTTTAATTTCAAACCTTAACAACTTACAAGAACACACAGATAGCTTGTATGAGAAATGCAAAGAATGCCAGTTGAGAATCAGCATTTCTGAAACAGATTTAATAGACGTCAGCAGAAACCCAGGCAAACCGAGCATCTCCATCGATGCAACTCAGCTCAAACCTATATGAGAAATATAAATTCTTCGGAAGCATATTTACTCATGATGGAAGATAAGACAGGGAAATCGGTAACCTAACAATCTTCACCATCACTAACTCGTAAGCACCTATCAATGAAAGTGAAAAGGCGACTTATCAACAACATATTCCACCCAACACTAAAGCACCAATGTCAAAAGTGACAGTTTCGCATAAAAAGGGAGACCATTGCCTGTAAGATCATTTATGCCTAAAAATTAATCAATGTCACAAAGAAAGCATTCATAAGAATCGAAAAACTGTTTTAAAATTAAAGAACGAAATTATCCATTATATCAGAAAAGAAACTGCCATGGAGCCGAGGAACATAAAAAAAATTATACATGATACAATTGTTCCCTAAAACTAGCTACACGAGCTTACAACGCATAAGAATCATGTTGCAAAGGTAAGAGTAGACCTTGAAAAACTTTGCGAATTTGTTATTGGCGTCAAAAAGTCAAAAGAGTACTACTATTTACCACAGACGACACCTTACCCTTGTCCAAAAATTGCACCTCCTTGACATGTAACGATACAAGAGAAGGAAAAACGTAAACCTACAGTAATATATAGTTATAATACATAGATCTAGATCTGCATATTCTTTAATTATATGACAGGTGGCCTATATTATATAAAAACTGGTCTCCGCCCAAGAACGTGCCGCTTAGGAATACTTTTTTTCCCTGCATAATGAATGATTTACACTATAATTGAGAGAGCAAAATTTTCTCGATCAAGAAATCAAGAAATAGGTGTTAATTGTAGAGGATGCGCACGAGCTTAGTTAATGTGTTTTTATTGCTCCTTTCTCTTTGTTTCTTCTTTCTGTTTCCTGCCCAGATTGAGCGTATTTTATGAATAGGTATAGGCACATTCATTGTGCTGGTAAGCTTATTTTATTGCCCTAAAGAGAAGTAGTGTTATATCATAATATTTTATTTCAAGATAAGTTTATGAATTATGAATGCTTGAGGAAATGATTAGAGGTCACAGCTGTCGTGGATGTGGAATTAAAAGAGAGTTTTAAAAAATAAAGAGAAGGGGATGGAAATACATTATAGCAGCATTTTTGTTGTTGATTTTTTAATGCGGTTTTTTACCTTTCTTTTCCATTTTAAAATTGATTTCCCTTTAAATAGAATAGTGAGTGGCGTCGGTAGCCTAGTGGTTAGGGTACCGGACTCGTGATCGTGAGATTGCGGGTTCGGGGGTTCGAGCCTTAGCTCGGTCCGACGTTGTGTCCTTGGGAAAGACACTTTACACGAACTTCCCGCTTGGCTCGGTCCTATCAGAGACGGACGTTAAACTAGGAGGTCCTGCCCCTTAAATAACCTAATAGTGTTGATAGGGGCGTTAAACCCATACCATTTCATAGAATAGTGTGATTTCCGTCTTTATTCAATCGGGAAAAAGGGACTGAACTAAACACAGAAAAAAGTCTCAGACGATACTTCTTAAAAACTATTCATCATTAAAGGTCGGTTCTGTTAATCGATACAGTGGTCAATAAGATGGCAATAAAACAATTACATTAAGAATGAAAATGACTGTATACAAACACCATTCAATCGGAACAGTATACTAGTACTTATCATTCAAAATCTCAGTGCCCATGCATCAAATTATGTGTTATTCAAGAAAAGTATAGGCACAGAAACAAAAATCTGCCCAGCAATGCAGAATGAAAGCTGACTTTCCATATGCCCGAAAAACCGATGCGAACTTCGGGTGCGAATTCCGCGTGCAAACTATTTTTTTTCGCACCAACCTTTTTGTCATTATGTTAATCCATATATCGGAATTTCTGCATGGCCGAGTCCGAAATTTGCATGGGAATATTTTGTTTCGCACGAGGGAGCGAAATTTTTTTCTTCGGCACCCGAATTCTTCGTGAAGTGGGCGGGGCTCATTTCCCTCCAAATGTACTTCCTAGGTATGAAGCAGCATGAAAGCACTATGTAAGCGGGAAAACGTCGAAATGTTGATTTCCTTGGTTCGAGAGAGAGGTGTTAAAACTAAGACTGAAAAGAGGTGTTTGTGGGAAACTTTCGGGAGTCTATGTAATCTATCTATCGTCGAAAATAGTTTTTTTTTGCATAATTTGATAGTGCTCGGTGAGACACATGTCCCTGTAAAACAATTTTTCAATTATCTCAACCCAAACGTGCAATCTGACGTAATAAGAAAATCGTGAATAAACACCGTGCCCCCAAAGTCGCCTGATGAAACCGTGAATCCTACACCTGTGTGGAATTCACGACCTCATCAGTCGATTTATGACTCGAGGGGCTGACCGTTGGCGCCGTGAACGCCTCTCTGGGCTATTAAAATATAGGCGATTGCGTTGTGCAAACACAATGGTCGGTCAGTATTCACGGTTGTAATTTATGATGTCGACTGTATATGTTTTGCGAGAAAACCTCTGTCACATAATTAAGATGTGTGTTTCCTAGATGCAAGACTGGAATTGTTTCACGACTGTCAAATTCGAATGTGTAATTTGTGTGCTCTTCTAGTAGTGGGTAAAACAATTTTTTATCTTGCTTGTTTGCAAAATTATTTTTTTTATAATAACGTGACGTAGTCAAGCATAACGTACAAGTTTATTTTCGTGTTATATCACAACCCAAACTTGTTTTACACTGAAAGCTCACTGATTTGACAACAGAGTTCCCTAAGGAGAAAAGGAATTTTGAAAAGCCGAGCAATGTGAACCACTTTGGGCATCAAAGAAAGCTACAAACAATACCAAATGGAAATAATAAAAGAACCAGACTTCAATGAAAAAAAGTGTCAT